CCCCATCGCTGTGCCCCCCCAGTGCTGTGCCCCCCCATCGCTGTGCCCCCCATCGCTGTGCCCCCCATTGCTGTGCCCCCCATCGCTGTGCCCCCCATCGCTGTGCCCCCCCAGTGCTGTGCCCCCCATCGCTGTGCCCCCCATTGCTGTGCCCCCCATTGCTGTGCCCCCCATTGCTGTGCCCCCCCATTGCTGTGCCCCCCCATCGCTGTGCCCCCCCATCGCTGTGCCCCCCCAGTGCTGTGCCCCCCCATTGCTGTGCCCCCCCATTGCTGTGCCACCCCAGTGCTGTGCCCCCCATCGCTGTGCCCCCATGACCCGTGTCCCCCCCAGCTGCAGGGCTCCCCCGAGGTGCACCGGGAGCGGCGGCGGCAGCAGGCGCTGCAGGACAATTACCGCTTCGTGTGGGGGGGCCGCCGTGAGCAGCCCCCCCCCGGGGACTCCGAGGACCCCGACTTGTGACCCCCCCCCCCCCCCAGTGCTCTGCTGTGGGGCTGCCCCATAGCTGGGTCCCATGGACTGGTTTGGGGGTCCCTGTGACGTGGGGAAATGGTTTCGGGGAGGGTGATATTGGAGGGGGGTATTTTGGGGGGGTGTAATATGGGGAGGGGGTGATTCGGGGGGGTCCCTCGTTGCCACTGGAGCCGTTTGTGTCCCCCCTTTTTACCAATAAACCGGGTGCCCCGGCTCTGTCTCCTTGTCCGTGACCTGAACCCCCCCGTGTCCCTCCGGTGCCCCCCCCAGCGCTCACCGGCGGCCTCGCTGGGTCCTAATGCCCGCCCCATGAACTGGGCGCAAAGGGGTGGGCTTGGGGGCGCGCCGCAGCCAATCAGGATCAAGGAAGGGCGGGGGCTCGTCTGGTGCTGGCCAATGGGAGCGAGGAGGGGACGGGTCGATGCCGGGACGCACCTGGGCCACCGGGACCCTCAGAACTGAGCGGACCCACCGGGACCCCCCCCACCCCCCGGTATCCCCATCCCTGGCCATGGAGTCCCCCGTTTGCGGCCACGCTCTCCCCACCCCGGGCCGTGGTTGCCCCGTACGTGCCCACAGTGGCCGCAGCCCCCCCCCCCCATGACTCGTGTCCCCACCATTGCCATTGCCCCCTGCACATCTGGGGGGTCCTCAACCACAACCATGGCCCCCCCAGTGTGGCCACTGTCCCCTTCCCAAGGGGCTGTAACGTGTGTCCCCCCCGAGTGTCCCCAGCAGTGGGGTGGCTCTTGGTGGCCACCGTTGGGTGCTGGTGGCTGCAGGGGCTGGTTCGGGGGCCAGGGACCTACAGCGGGGTGGGGATGGGGCCCTGGGTGCTGCCCTGACACTGACCCCAACCCCGGTCTCACCTCGTCCCACCCCGTTTGGAGCCGTTGATCCGGTTCCTTGTTCGGGTGCGTCTGAGCCACGTGGAGCCGTGGGCAGGGCCATGGGCAGCACCGGGCAGGTACCGGGGGGACCCCCCAGGTGACCCCATTGCGGCTCCGGGGACAGCCCCTGGTGTGGCTGTAAGGAGGTTGGGCTCGGCCGGGTCATGGGGAGTTGTTTGGGGACACTCATGGGGCTGGGGGGGGGTCAAATGGGGCTGAAACCCTGCGGGGTCTGGGGGGGGACCGGGGAGGGGAGGAAGGGGGGCACGGGTAAGGGGACAGGGAGGGGTTGGGGGGGACAAAGGGGACACGGGGAGGGATTTGGGGGTCACCGCAGGACACGGAGCTGGTGGCGGAGGGGTTCCCTGGGTGCTCGGGGGGCTCCATCCCTGCCCTGTCCCTTGCAGCCCCCGAGGCGCCGCTGTGGGGCCGTGCGGGGTCCCTGGTTCCTGCTGGGCTTCGCCGTGGGGCTGGCGCTGGGGGGCAGCTTCCTGCGGGGCCTTGGGGGGCTGCAGGGCCCCCCTAGAGCCGAGGGTGCCCCCCCCCTGCGCAGCCTCCCCCCGCCCACAGGTGAGACCGGGGGGGCACCCATAGGAGATAACGGGGGGGGGGGTGCGGAAGGGTGAAGTCCAGGAAGCAGGGACGGGCACAGCCGGGGTGGTGGCGGTGACGTCCCCGTGTGGCACCGCGGAGGCGGCACCGAGGGACAAGGGAACGGCTTGAACCTGCCCGAGGGGAGCCTGAGCTGAGCTCTGAGGCAGAAGCTCTTCCCTGTGAGGGTGCTGAGGCGCTGGCACAGGGTGCCCAGAGAAGCTGGGGCTGCCTCATCCCTGGCAGTGCTCAAGGACACAGGGGCTCGGAGCACCCTGCTCCAGTGGAAGGGGTTGGGGTTGGAGCTGGAGGAGCTTCAAGGTCCCTCCCAGCCCAAACCAGCCCCTGTTTCTCCGGGGCTGGCAGTGGGAGCTCTGAGCCTGTGATGCATTCGGGATGTCCTGGGTATGGTGGGAGCTCAGAGCTGTGGGCTGGGATGGAGCAGTGGCCGGTGGTGGAGTCCATGGGGCATCCCTGCCCTTAGAGGTGCCTATGGCACCTCCCAGCACACGGAGGTGTCCATGGCCTGCCCCAGCTCCCTCTCTCCCGCAGTGAACAGCAGCCTGGCACAGGCGCTGTACGAGCGGGTGCGCGTCCTATGCTGGGTCATGACCAGCCCCAGCACCCTGGAGACCAGAGCCAGGCACGTACGGGCGACCTGGGCCCGGCACTGCAACGTGGTGCTGTTCATGAGCTCGGCGCCGGAGCCCAGCCTGCCGGCCGTGGGGCTGCCCGTGGGGGAAGGTCGGCACCAGCTCTACTGGAAAACCATCCGCGCCTTCCAGTACGTGCACGAGCATCACCTGGACCAGGCCGATTGGTTCCTCAAGGCGGACGACGACACCTTCGTGGTGGTGGCCAACCTGCGCTGGCTCCTGGCCGGGCGCTCCCCGGAGGCCCCCCTCTACTTGGGCAAGCGCTTCAAGCCCTTCGTGCGCCAGGGCTACATGAGCGGGGGAGCCGGGTACGTGCTCAGCAAAGGGGCCCTGCGGCTCCTCGTGGCCGCCTTCGCCGCCGGGACCTGCACCCACAGCAGCCCCGTGGAGGACCTGGCGCTGGGGCAGTGCCTGGAGAAGCTCGGGGTGGCCGCGGGGGACTCCCGGGATTCCCAGGGCCGGGAAACGTTCCACCCGTTCCGGCCGGAGCAGCACCTCACCCAGCCCCTGCCCCGCGACCGCTTCTACCCGCAGTACTCCTACTACCCGGTGCAGTGGGTGAGTGGGGACCCGGCACCCGACCCCGGCCCACGCGGACCAGAGCGGGCACTGAGCCCCCGCGCTCCCCTCCCGCTTCATTTGCATGCAGACCACGCCCACCTACCTGCACCCGCCCTATTAGCATGCATTCCCGCCTCCTCAGACCACGCCCCCCTCTGGCGCCCCCTGCAGGCCGCCGCGTGCTGCTCCGACCTCTCCGTCTCCTTTCACTACGTGGACGGGGTCCAGATGCACGCCCTGGAGTTCCTGACCCACCGCCTGCGGCCCTACGGATACCGGCACCGGTACCGGCCTCATCCCCTCACCCCCCCCCCAGGCACCGGTACCGGCCTCACCCCCCTGACCCCCCCCAGGCACCGGTACCGGCCTCATCCCCTCACCCCCCCCCCAGGCACCGGTACCGGCCTCACCCTGACCCCGGCACCGGACCGGTCCCCTGACCCCCAGGCACCGGTACCGGTCGCCCTGACCCCCGGCACCGGTACCGGCCTCGCCCCTGACCCCCCAGGCACCGGTACCGGCCTCATCCCCTCACCCCCCAGGCACCGGTAGCCTCACCCTGACCCCAGGCACCGGTACCGGCCTCACCCCCTGACCCCCCAGGCACCGGTACCGGCCTCACCCCCCTGACCCCCCCCCGGCACCGGTACCGGCCTCATCCCCTCACCCCCCCCCCAGGCACCGGTACCGGCCTCACCCCCCTGACCCCCCCCAGGCACCGGTACCGGCCTCACCCCACTGAACCCCCCCGGTACTGGCATGACCCCCTCCAACCCCCCCTTGACCCCCCCAAACCCCTTCTGGCACCTTCAGGCCTGACCTCCTGACCCCACTGACCCACCCCAGCACCGGTACCGGCCCCCCCGTACCCCCCAGCACCAGGCCCCTGGTGCTCTCCATCCCTAAGCCACGGCGGATCCCCAGGGTCCCACAGCCCCATTGCGGGAGCCCCCCCTCCCCATCCCGACCCCCCCGCGGTGCCGCCGCAGGAGCCGCGCTCACAGCGCCAAATCCAACATTGTTACGTACTTACAGTTACAACCCCAAAACGCTGTACACGCCATGACACGCCACGGCACGCCATGACACGCTATGACACGCTATGACACGCCATGACATGCTATGACACGCCACGGCACGCCACGGCACGCCACAGCACGCCATGACACGCTATGACACGCTATGACATGCCATGACACACCATGACCTCCCTGGTCCCCCCAAGCCCCGGGGCCCTGGCTCAGTCCCACCGGCGCTGCCGGGGCGTCACAGCGAGGGGCACCCCTACATTCATGGGAGGGTCCCAGGGGTGGGGGCCATGGGGTGGGCCCCCTCCAGGCTCATGGGTGCCCCCCCAGGCCCATGGGTGCCCCTGGCACCACCCAACGGTGAAACGAAGCAATAAATTAAAGAGGATCCCAAGGGGATGGTGACAAAAGGGGGGCTGGGGGGGGGGGGGTCACAGGTTCGGGGGGGTCTCAGGGCACAGTGTGGGGGGGGTTGTACAAAAGGGGCTGTAGAAAAGGGGGTCGGGGCTGCGCCTGTCACGGTGCCGGTGCCAGGGGAGATGTGGGGTGGGAGACCCATGGGGAGAGGTGGGACGGGGGGACAGGACCCGCGTCCGTGGGGAGCCGTAGGCAGGATGAGAGGAACGGGGTGACACGGGCGAGGTGACACGGCCAGCGCTGTCCCCATCTGTGCCCCACACCGAGGCACCGGGGGGGGGACCACGGTGCCACCAGCGCCGGCTGCCGGGCCCTGGCACGGGCAGAGGGACAGGACCGGGAGAGCTCCCGTGGACAGAACCGGGGCCGGTGGCAGCGGGGGGGCCGTGGCTACACCAGCGCCGTGTGCGGCTCGCAGGGCCCGCAGCCGCTCCTGCCGCCGGTGCCGCCGGTGCCGTCGGCGCTGTCGCCGGGCCCCTCCCCGGGGCAGCCGTGCTGCACCAGGATGTCCGCGCACTCCCGGCTCCCGGCGCGGCGAGCGTAGAACAGCGCCGTGTGCCCGCGGCCGTCCCGGGCCCGCGCGTCCGCCCCGTGCTGCGGGGACACGGGAGTGAGCGGCGCCGTCAGCGGGAGGGGATGCGGGGTGCGGGGGTGCGGGGATGAGGATGGGGGATGCGGGGGTGCGGGGATGGGGGGATGCGGGATGCGGGATGGGGGGTGAGGATGGGGAATGCGGGGGTGGGGGATGGGGGGTGGGGATGGGGGGATGTGGGATGCGGGATGGGGGGGGTGAGGATGGGGGATGCGGGGGTGGGGGACGTGGGGGTGGGGGACGAGGGGATGGGGGACGTGGGGATAGGGGATACAAGGATGGGGGATGTGGAGATTGGGGATGCAGGGATGGGGGATACAGGGATGGGGGATGCTGGGATGGGGGATGCAGGGATGCGGGATGTGGGGATTGGGGATGTGGGGATGGGGGATGTGGGGATTGGGGATGCGGGGATGGGGGATGCAGGGATGGGGGATACGGGTTTGGGGCATACGGAGATGGGGGATGTGGGGATTGGGGATGCAGGGATGGGGGATGTGAGGATGTGGGATATGGGGATGGGGGATGCGGGGATGGGGGATGCAGGGATGGGGGATGTGGGGATGGGGGATACGGGGATGGGCGATGCAGGGATGGGGGATGTGGGGATTGGGGATGCTGGGATGGGTGGGATGGGGGATGTGGGATGGGGGATGTGGGGATGGGGGATACAGGGATGTGGGATGTGGGGATTGGGGATGTGGGGATGGGGGATGCAGGGATGGGGGATACGGGTTTGGGGCATACGGAGATGGGGGATGTGGGGATTGGGGATGCTGGGATGGGGGATGTGAGGATGTGGGATATGGGGATGGGGGATGCGGGGATGGGGGATGCAGGGATGGGGGATGTGGGGATGGGGGATACGGGGATGGGCGATGCAGGGATGGGGGATGTGGGGATTGGGGATGCTGGGATGGGGGATGTGGGGATGGGGGATGTGGGGATGGGGGATGTGGGGATGGGGGATGCGGGGATTGGGGATGCAGGGATGGGGGATGCGGGGATTGGGGATGCAGGGATGGGGGATGTGGGGATGGGGGATGCGGGGATTGGGGATGCTGGGATGGGGGATGTGAGGATGTGGGATACGGGGATGGGGGATGCGGGGATGGGGCCTCTGGGGCTGTGGTTATCCCGAGGGGGTTGCGGTGTGGGGGGGTTCTGAGGCTCCCACATGTCCACTCCATGTCCCCCATGACCACACCACATCCCCCATGGCCACCCCATGACCACACCACATCCCCTATGGCCACCCCATGACCACACCACATCCCCCATGGCCACCCCATGACCACACCACATCCCCCATGGCCACCCCATGACCACACCACATCCCCCATGGCCACCCCATGACCACACCACATCCCCCATGGCCACCCCATGACCACACCACATCCCCCATGGCCACCCCATGACCACACCACATCCCCCATGGCCACCCCATGACCACACCACATCCCCCATGGCCACCCCATGGCCACACCACATCCCCCATGGCCACCCCATGGCCACACCACATCCCCATGGCCACCCCATGGCCACACCACATCCCCCATGGCCACCCCATGGCCACACCACATCCCCATGGCCACCCCATGGCCACACCACATCCCCATGGCCACCCCATGGCCACACCACATCCCCCATGGCCACCCCATGACCACACCACACCCCCATGGCCACCCCATGGCCACACCACATCCCCCATGGCCACCCCATGACCACACCACATCCCCCATGGCCACCCCATGACCACACCACATCCCCCATGGCCACCCCATGGCCACACCACATCCCCATGGCCACCCCATGACCACACCACATCCCCCATGGCCACCCCATGGCCACACCACATCCCCCATGGCCACCCCATGACCACACCACATCCCCCATGGCCACCCCATGACCACACCACATCCCCCATGGCCACCCCATGACCACACCACATCCCCTATCCCACCCCACAACCCCCATGACCCCCCCCATACCTCAGCCCCTCCCACCCCATGGGCACCCCGTGCCGTACCCACAGCAGCAGCTGGGTGATGACCACCAGCCCCATGTCGCAGGCCACGTGCAGCGCCGGGCGCCCGTCCCCATCCCCGCTGCTGACGTTGAGCTGCTCCTTCTTGCTGTGGGCCAGGAGCAGCAGCACCAGCTCCAGGTCCTTGTCCTGCACGGCGCGGAGGAGCTGCTCCGCCAGCGGCCCCTCGGCCTCGGGCAGCGGCGCCAGGAACAGCTTCTGCTCGTACTTAGCGCGGATCCAGGCCTCCCGCTCCTCCCTGCGGGCACGGGCGCAGCCGTCACGGGCTGGGGAACGGGGGGGAAGGACCCGGTCCCGGGGTCTGGGGGGGGCAGCACCCACCGGGAGGACTCGGGCGTGGGTTTGCTGCGGCCCCGCGGGCTCTTCTCCCAGATGCTGTTGGCGGTGGCGTTGCCGATGGAGGTCAGCACCAAGGTCAGCTCCCGGGGCCAATCGTCCAGGTCCAGCGAGCGCACGCGGGAGAGGTGCGTGCCCAGGTTGCGGTGGATCCCCGAGCACTCGATGCAGATCAGGGCACCCAGGTTCAGGCTGGCCCAGGTCGGGTCTGGGGGCGGGGGGGTATGGAGATGGTTGGTGACGCAATGGGGGCATCGCGACAACATGGGAGCGCCCCGGCTTGATGGCACCGCATGGCATTGGTGGCCCCTGGTGCCATGTGGCACATGGTGCTTCCTAGAGCAGGTCATTGGGTAACCCAATGGCATGACATGACCCATGCCATTGGTGGCCCATGGTGCCATGTGGCACATGGCGCTTCCTAGACCAGGTCATCGAGTAACCCAATGGCATGACATGACCCATGGCATTGGTGGCCCCTGGTGCCATGTGGCACATGGCGCTTCCTAGACCAGGTCATCGAGTAACCCAATGGCATGACATGACCCATGGCATTGGTGGCCCCTGGTGCCATGTGGCACATGGTGCTTCCTAGACCAGGTCATTGGGTAACCCAATGGCATGACATGACCCATGGCATTGGTGGCCCATGGTGCCATGTGGCACATGGTGCTTCCTTGCCCAGGTCATTGGGTAACCCAATGGCATGACATGACCCATGGCATTGGTGGCCCCTGGTGCCATGTGGCACATGGTGCTTCCTAGAGCAGGTCATTGGGTAACCCAATGGCATGACATGACCCATGGCATTGGTGGCCCCTGGTGCCATGTGGCACATGGTGCTTCCTAGACCAGGTCATTGGGTAACCCAATGGCATGACATGACCCATGGCATTGGTGGCCCTTGTGGTGTGGGTGGTGTGTGGTTGGTGGTTGTGGGTTGGGTTTGGGTTGGTGTGTGGTTGGTGGTTGTGGTGTTTTGGGTTTGGTGGTGTGTGGTGTGGTTGGTGGTTGTGGTTGGTTTGGGTTGGTGTGTGGTTGGTGGTGGTGTGTGGTGGTGTTTGGGTTTGGGTTGGTGTGTGGTTGGTGGTTGTGTGGTGGTGTTTTGGGTTTGGGTTGGTGTGTGGTGGTGGCTGGTGCCATGTGGCACATGGTGCTTCCTAGACCAGGTCATTGGGTAACCCAATGGCATGACATGACCCATGGCATTGGTGGCCCATAAATGCCATGGTGCTTCCTAGACCAGGTCATTGGGTAACCCAATGGCATGACATGACCCATGGCATTGGTGGCCCCTGGTGCCATGTGGCACATGGTGCTTCCTTGCGCAGGTCATTGGGTAACCCAATGGCATGACATGACCCATGGCATTGGTGGCCCATCATGCCATGTGGCACATGGTGCTTCCTTGCCCAGGTTCTTGGTGGCATGACATGGCACATGGTGGCTCCTCACCCAGGGCATTAGATGGCCCATGGTGACACATAGCACATGATGCTTCCTTACACACGTTGGCCCATTGGGTGGCCATGGTTGCACATGGTGCTTCCTCACCCGGGGCATTAGATGGCCCATGGCATGGCGTGGTCCATAGCATGACATCATGCGCCACACAGTGCCCAGGACATTGGGTGTCCATGTCATTGGATGGCCCATGGTGCCCCTGGCACAGGGTGCCCATGGCATTGGTGGCCAGTGACATCCCCTCATCCATGGCACCATCACAGCACACATCAACCTGTGGCACCAAGTGACCAACGGCTCCACACAGCCCCATGAGAGCAACGACACTGCCCAGCCCCAGTGTCCTGTGTCACTGTGTCACCACTGCCCCCCCGGCCCCCCATGTCCCCCCAGCACTCACTGGGAGCCCCGCAGTCCACGCAGAGCGAGTTGCCGCGGGCGTTGCGGATGGCCTGGATGGCCACGGCCTCACTCTGGCTGTCCATGCGTGCCTGGGGGGGGGACATGGGGACAATGAGCGGTGCCGGTGCCGCGGTGGCCCCTCCGCGGCCGCTGCTGAGCCCCACCTTGTTCTTGCTGCTCTCGCAGCACTGGAGGCTGGCCAGGATCTGGCTCTCGATGGCCTGCACCCAGGCATCGCGCTCCTCGAAGCTGCTCGCCTCGAAGTGCCAGGTCTGCCCCGTGCTGGACACGATGAGGAACTCGAAGCTCTCCTCTTCTGCAGGAGCAAAACCCCAAGGCCCCAAACCAACGGTGGGTGGTGGGGCAGGGGGGATCCAACCCCCTATGGGTGCCCCAGCACCCACAGCACCCATAGGTCCGCAGCAGAGGATGGAGCAGGGCAGGAGGAGCAGGGGGAGCCAGGGGAGCCGTTACCTGTTTTATACAGATTTCTTAAACTACCAAAGCTTTTTAGCTTCCACATTTTGCGCTTGGCTGTGGGAGGGTCCGGAGCAGCGGGGGCAGAGAGAGGAAAGTGGGGGACAGTCACCAGAGCCGAAGCACCAAGCCCCAAGGGACAGGGGACAGTGCGAGGGGTGCAGGGGGGGACAGAGCAGGTGGGGCTCAGCAGTGGTCGAGCATCCAAGGGCATCGTCCCCATGGATGCGGCAATGGGTCCGTGGGCATCCAGGGCCTGAGGGACCCATGCGTGGCCTCACCTTCCGCCTGCCCGGCAGAGCCCTCCGTCTTGGAGGGCGTCATCAGCTTCTTCCTCCGGTGCTTCTTCCTGTCCATGAGCGGTGATGGTGGCGGCTCCCGCCCGGCACTGCCAGGGCTGGAGATGGCTTCGAAGGGGGCATCTGTGGGGACGCCAACACCGATGGGTGCTGGGGACACCGGGACCACCAGGGCCAGCGGGGCCAAGGGGGTCACCAGGGGCACCAGAGTCACCAAGCACACCAGGGTTGGTGACCATTGAAGCCACCAGGGTGGCCAGGTCCACCAGAGCCACTGGGTTCTCCATGGGCACCAGGTTCACAACTGTCACTGGGGCCACCAGGCTCACCAAACCCACTGGGGTTGCTGAGCTACCCAAAGCCACCACGGTCACCATGGAGTCCAAGATCACCAGGGCCACCAAGGGCCAAAGGGTCTCCGGGTTTACCAGGCCCACGGGGTCACTGGAACCAACATGGGATGGGACAAGGGGACAGCAGGAAGGGACACAGGGCCCCTGGTTCTACCCTGGGGTGGTGGCCGGGTCCATTGGGACAGGAGGTAATACAAGGGGGCAGGAGGGGGGTCAGGAGGAAGAGCAAGGGGGCAGGAGGGGGGCGGGGGGGGCAGGAGGGGGGCAGGAGGGGGCAGGAGGAGGGGGGGCGGAGGGGGCAGGAGGGCGGGGCAGGAGGGGAGGAGGGGGCAGGAGGCAGGAGGGGGCAGGAGGGGGCAGGAGGGGGCAGGAGGGGGCAGGAGGGGGCAGGAGGAGGGGGCAGGAGGGGGCAGGAGGGGCAGGGGGGGGGGGGAGGAGGGGGCAGGAGGGGGGGGGCAGGAGGGGGCAGGAGGGGGCAGGAGGGGGCAGGGGGGCAGGAGGAGGGCGCAGGAGGGGGCAGGAGGGGCAGGAGGGGGCAGGAGGGGGCAGGAGGGGCAGGAGGGGGCAGGAGGGGGCAGGAGGGGCAGGAGGGGCAGGAGGGGGCAGGAGGGGGGCAGGAGGGGGCAGGAGGGGGCAGGAGGGGGCAGGAGGGGGCAGGAGGGAGGGGGGCAGGAGGGGGAGGAGGGGCAGGAGGGGGCAGGAGGGGCAGGAGGGAGGGGGCAGGAGGGGGCAGGAGGGCAGGAGGGGGCAGGAGGGGCAGGAGGAGGGGGCGGGGGGGCAGGGGGCAGGAGGGGCAGGGGGGCAGGAGGAGGGGGCAGGAGGGCAGGAGGGGGCAGGAGGGGCAGGAGGAGGGGGAGGAGGGGCAGGAGGGGGCAGGAGGGGCAGGAGGGGGGGGAGGGGGCAGGGGGGCAGGAGGGGGCAGGGGGGCAGGAGGAGGCAGGGGGCAGGAGGGGGCAGGGCGGGGGGCAGGAGGGGGCAGGAGGGGGCAGGAGGGGGCAGGAGGGGGCAGGAGGAGGGGGCAGGAGGGGGGCAGGAGGGGCAGGGGCAGGAGGGGCAGGGGGGGGCGGGGGGGGGAGGAGGGGGCAGGAGGAGGGGGCAGGAGGGGGCAGGAGGAGGAGGGGGCAGGAGGGGCAGGGGGGGCAGGAGGGGGGGCAGGAGGGGGCAGGAGGGGGCAGGAGGGGGCAGGAGGGGGGGCAGGAGGGGGCAGGAGGGGGCAGGAGGGGCAGGAGGGGGGGCAGGAGGGGGCAGGAGGGGGCAGGAGGGGGCAGGAGGGGGCGGGGGGCAGGAGGGGCAGGAGGGGGGGCAGGAGGAGGGGGCAGGAGGGGGCAGGAGGGGGGGCAGGAGGGGCAGGAGGGGGCAGGAGGGGGGGGGGGCAGGAGGGGCAGGAGGGGGCAGGAGGGGGCAGGAGGGGGGAGGGGGGCAGGGAGGGGCAGGAGGGGGGGCAGGAGGGGCAGGAGGGGGCAGGGGGGGGCAGGAGGGGGGCAGGAGGGGGGGCAGGAGGGGGCAGGGGGGGGCAGGAGGGGGCAGGAGGGGAGGAGAGGGGGCAGGAGGGGCAGGAGGAGGCAGGAGGGGGGGCAGGAGGGGGCAGGAGGGGGCAGGAGGAGGGGGCAGGAGGGGGCAGGAGGGGGCAGGAGGGGGCAGGAGGGGGCAGGAGTGGGCAGGAGGGGCAGGAGGGGGGGGCAGGAGGAGGGGTCTGGAGCTGTCGCTGTCGCTCACCGGAGCCGACTCTGGCGCTGGAGGCGGACGCGCAGCGCTGCAGGGACCGCTCGCCCTTACCCGGCACCTTCAGCCCTGGCTCAGGGGGGAGGCTGAGCCCCACGGCTGGGGGGGGGCACCAGTGACCCCCGGTCCTGCAGGACCACCCCATTGCCACCAGCACCCCCAGCTCCTGCTGAACCCCCATTGCTGCTGAACCCCCATTGCCACCAGCACCCCCATTGATGCTGAACCCCCATTGCCACCAGCACCCCCATTGCTGCTGAACCCCCATTGCCACCAGCACCCCCATTGATGCTGAACCCCCATTGCCACCAGCACCCCCATTGATGCTGAACCCCCATTGCCACCAGCACCCCCATTGATGCTGAACCCCCATTGCCACCAGCACCCCCATTGATGCTGAACCCCCATTGCCACCAGCACCCCCATTGCTGCTGAACCCCCATTGCCACCAGCACCCCCATTGATGCTGAACCCCCATTGCTGCTGAACCCCCATTGCCACCAGCACCCCCATTGATGCTGAACCCCATTGCCACCAGCAACCCCCATCGTATGCTGAACCCCCATTGCCACCAGCACCCCCATTGATGCTCAACCCCCATTGACACCAGCACCCCCCATTGATGCTGAACCCCCATTGCCACCAGCACCCCCATTGATGCTGAACCCCCATCGCCACCAGCACCCCCATTGATGCTGAACCCCCATTGCCACCAGCACCCCCATTGATGCTGAACCCCCATTGACACCAGCACCCCCATTGATGCTGAACCCCCATTGCCACCAGTACCCCCATTGATGCTGAACCCCCATTGACACCAGCACCCCCATTGATGCTGAACCCCCATTCGACACCAGCACCCCCATTTATGCTGAAACCCCATTGCCACCAGCACCCCCATTGCTGCTGAACCCCCATTGCCACCAGCACCCCCCTTCGATGCCGAACCCCCATTGCCACCAGCACCCCCATTGATGCTGAACCCCCATTGCCACCAGCACCCCCATTGCTGCTGAACCCCCATTGCCACCAGCACCCCCATTGATGCTGAACCCCCATTGCCACCAGCACCCCCCATTGCTGCTGAACCCCCATTGCCACCAGCACCCCCATTGCTGCTGATCCTCATTGCCACCAGCATGCCCAATCGCCGCGCGCGCGCGCGCGCGCGCGCGCGCGCGCGCGCGCGCGCGCGCGCGCGCGCGCGCGCGCGCGCGCGCGCGCGCGCGCGCGCGCGCGCACCCCCATTGCCACCAGCACCCCCATTGATGCTGAACCCCCATTGCCACCAGACCCCCATTGATGCTGATCCCTCATTGCCACCAGCACCCCCATTGGCACCCCCATTGCTGCTGAACCCCCCATTGCCACCAGCACCCCCTTTGATGCTGAACCCCCATTGCCACCAGCACCCCCATTGATGCTGAACCCCCATTGCCACCAGCACCCCCATTGATGCTGAACCCCCATTGCCACCAGCACCCCCATTGATGCTGAACCCCCATTGACACCAGCACCCCCAGCTCCTGCTGAACCCCCATTGCCACCAGCACCCCCAGTGATGCTGAACCCCCCATTGCCACCAGCACCCCCCATTGCTGCTGAACCCCCATTGCCACCAGCACCCCCCTTGATGCTGAACCCCCATTGCCACCAGCACCCCCAGCTCCTGCTGAACCCCCATTGCCACCAGCACCCCCATTGATGCTGAACCCCCATTGCCACCAGCACCCCCATTGATGCTGAACCCCCATTGCCACCAGCACCCCCATTGATGCTGAACCCCCATTGACACCAGCACCCCCATTGATGCTGAACCCCCATTGCCACCAGCACCCCCATTGCTGCTGAACCCCCATTGCCACCAGCACCCCCATTGATGCTGAACCCCCCCCGTCCCTGGGCTCTCCCCGCACTCACCCCCCCCCTCGTCTCGCAGGAGCCCGTTGGCGCTGGGGGCGGGGCTACAGGCGGAGATCGCGCGGGGGGGGCGCTTCCCCGGGACCTTGACCGTGGTGCGGAGCAAATCCATCTCCTTCCCATGGGTGCTGTGCAGGTAATCCTGTATGGGACAAGGAGGGGACACCGGTAATCCTGTATGGGACAAGGAGGGGACACCGGTAATCCTGTATGGGACAAGGAGGGGACACCGGTAATCCTGTATGGGACAAGGAGGGGACACCGGTAATCCTGTATGGGACAAGGAGGGGACACCGGTAATCCTGTATGGGAGAAGGGAGGGACACCGGTAATCCTGTATGGGATAAGGGAGGGACACCGGTAATCCTGTATGGGACAAGGAGGGGACACCGGTAATCCTGTATGGGACAAGGAGGGGACACCGGTAATCCTGTATGGGAGAAGGGAGGGACACCGGTAATCCTGTATGGGACAAGGAGATGACACCGGTAATCCTGTATGGGACAAGGAGGGGACACCGGTAATCCTGTATGGGACAAGGAGGGGACACCGGTAATCCTGTATGGGACAAGGAGGGGACACCGGTAATCCTGTATGGGAGAAGGGAGGGACACCGGTAATCCTGTATGGGACAAGGGAGGGGACACCGGTAATCCTGTATGGGACAAGGAGGGGACACCGGTAATCCTGTATGGGACAAGGAGGGGACACCGGTAATCCTGTATGGGAGAAGGGAGGGACACCGGTAATCCTGTATGGGAGAAGGGAGGGACACCGGTAATCCTGTATGGGACAAGGAGGGGACACCGGTAATCCTGTATGGGAGAAGGGAGGGGACACCGGTAATCCTGTATGGGACAAGGAGGGGACACCGGTAATCCTGTATGGGACAAGGAGGGGACACCGGTAATCCTGTATGGGACAAGGAGGGGACACCGGTAATCCTGTATGGGACAAGGAGGCACGGTAATCCTGTATGGGACAAGGAGGGGACACCGGTAATCCTGTATGGGACAAGGAGGGGACACCGGTAATCCTGTATGGGACAAGGAGGGGACACCGGTAATCCTGTATGGGACAAGGAGGGGACACCGGTAATCCTGTATGGGAGAAGGAGGGGACACCGGTAATCCTGTATGGGACAAGGGAGGGGACACCGGTAATCCTGTATGGGACAAGGGAGGGGACACCGGTAATCCTGTATGGGACAAGGGAGGTGACCCCGGGTCCTGTATGGGACAAGGGAGGGGACACCGGGTCCTGGATGGGACAAGGGAGGTGACAGCGGGTGCTGGATGGGACAAGGGAGGTGACGCCGGGTCCTGGATGGGACAAGGGAGGTGACACGGGTCCTGTATGGGAGATCCTGATGGGAAAGGGAGGGGACACCGGGCCTGGATGGGACAAGGGAGGTGACAGGGTTCTGGGAGAAGGGAGGTGACACCGGGTCCTGGATGGGACAAGGGAGGTGACGCCGGGTCCTGGATGGGACAAGGGAGGTGACACCGGGTCCTGGATGGGACAAGGGAGGTGACACCGGGTCCTGGATGGGACAAGGGAGGTGACAGCGGGTCCTGGATGGGACAGGGAGGGACCGGCCTGGATGGGACAAGGGAGGTGACACCGGGTCCTGGATGGGACAAGGGAGGTGACAGCGGGTCCTGGATGGGACAAGGGAGGTGACAGCGGGTCCTGGATGGGACAGGGGAGGTGACGCCGGGTCCTGGATGGGACAAGGGAGGTGACAGCGGGTCCTGGATGGGACAAGGGAGGTGACGCCGGGTCCTGGATGGGACAGGGGAGGTGACAGCGGGTTCTGGATGGGACAGGGGAGGTGACGCCGGGTCCTGGATGTGACAAGGGAGGTGACAGCGGGTCCTGGATGGGGCAAGGGAGGTGACGCCGGGTCCTGGATGGGACAAGGGAGATGACGCCGGGTCCTGGATGGGACAGGGGAGGTGACGCCGGGTCCTGGATGGGACAAGGGAGGTGACGCCGGTCCCCCGGGCTCGGGTCGGGCGCTGCGGCCGCGGGCACTCACGTTCACGCTGGGGTGGTAGAGCAGGAGCCCGTTGCTGCTCAGGGTCACGTATTTCTTCTTCCACTCCTTGTTGAGGGAGTTCCCGCTGCGCTTGAGCAGGAAGCTCTGGGCAGGGACAGGGACAGGGACGGGGCAGCGCTGGCACCGGGGGGGGCATCGCCGCTTCCCCCCGCGGCCAAAACCCACCTGCTTGATGGGTACCGGCACGGAGCGGGCGGTGCCGGGGCCCTCCAGGCTCCGCTTGTCCGAGTCGCTGCCACGGCGAGTCTGAGGGGACAGGGACCGGGATGGGGACCGGGATGGGGATGGGGATGGGGACAGGGACCGGGATGGGGATGGGGATCGGGACAGGGACAGGGTCAGGGACGGGGACAGGGACGGGGATGGGGACAGGGACGGGGATGGGGACGGGGACAGGGACAGGGATGGGGACAGGGTCAGGGACGGGGACAGGGACGGGGATGGGGACAGGGACGGGGATGGGGACGGGGACAGGGACGGGGATGGGGACGGGGACAGGGACGGGGACAGGGAAGGGGATGGGGATGGGGACGGGACAGGGAAGGGGATGGGGATGGGGACAGGGATGGGGATGGGACAGGGATGGGGACAGGGACAGGGGATGGGGACGGGACAGGGGACGGAACAGGTACAGGGACAGGGATGGAGAAGAGAGAGGGACAGGGGATGGGGACAAGGACAGGGATGGGGAGAGGGAGAGGGGATGGAACAGGGACAGGGATGGGAGAGGGACAGGGATAGGGCAGGGACAGGGATGGGACGTGGACAGGGACAGGGGACGGAACAGGTACAGGGACAGGGATGGGGATGGGGATGGGAAAGGGACAGGGACAGGACAGGGACGGGGACAGAGGATGGGGACAGGGAAATTGGACACATGAGGCCAGGGCACCCATCCCCCAGTGGCACCAGGGTACCCAAATGCCTCCTTGTGCCCCGCTGGGAAAATATGGGCGCCACATGTGCCCTGAGGCCACCACCCATTCAAAGGCACACCATGGATGCCACATGCCCCCTGTACTGCCAGAGCACCGTGGTGAGGCACCCTAGATCCACATGATCCCCTGTGTCACCACCCTGCCAAGAGGACACTATGGTGGCTCTATGTCCCCTGATGGCACCACCCTCCCCAGGGGACACTGAGGGCACCACACGTCCCTGCTGGCGCTCGGTCACTCACGGCGAAGAGGCTGGTGCGGCGCTTGGCCCCGCGGTGCAGGGAGCTGGGGGTGCCCGGGGCCATGGGGGTGTCGCTGCGCAGGTCCCGGTGGGTGACGTTGGGGGTGGAGGGCAGCGAGGACGAGTAATCACTGGTGTGGCCGTTGCTGGTCTGGGGGCACAGCGGGGTCAGAGCCGCCAGCGGGGCCCCATGGCCGGGGGTGGCTGATGGGGGGTACCTGGCCAGGGTGGGAGCCCCCGAGCGGGGTGGAGGCGGTCGAGTGGCTGGGGGAGCTGGGCAGGGACTTGCAGGAGGCCACGAGCTGCTGCTGCTTCCTCAGCGCCACCACTTTCTGCGCCACTGCTCCAAGAGCCTCGTGTCAGGTGGGACGTGGGACATAGGACATGGCACCGAGACCCCAGCCACCACCATGGCCCATCACACCTCCATCACAGCCATGGTCCCATCACACCTCCATCACAGCCATGGTCCCATCACACCTCCATCACCACCATGGTCCCATCACACCTCCATCACCACCATGGTCCCATCACACCTCCACCACCGCCATGGTCCCATCCCACCTCCATCACCACTACAGTCCCATCCCACCTCCATCACCACCATGTCCCATCCCACCTCCATCACTAGGCATGATCCCATCACACCTCCACCACCACCATGTACCGTCCCACCTCCATCACCACTACGGTCCCATCACACCTCCACTGCAATCATGGTCCCCATCCCACCTCCATCACCTCCATGGTCCCCATCCCACCTCCATCACCGCCATGGTCCCATCCCACCTCCATCACCACTACAGTCCCATCACACCTCCATCACCGCCATGGTCCCATCCCACCTCCATCACTAGGCATGGTCCCATCACACCTCCACCACCACCATGTACCATCCCACCTCCATTACCACCACGGTCCCATCCCACCTCCATCACCAGCCATGGTCCCATCACACTTCTACCACCACCACGGTCCCATCCCACCTCCATCACCACTACAGTCCCATCACACCTCCACTGCAATCATGGTCCTCATCCCACCTCCATCACCGCCATGGTCCCATCCCACCTCCATCACCAGCCATGGTCCCATCACACTTCTACCACCACCACGGTCCCATCCCACCTCCATCACCACCATGGTCCCCATCCCACCTCCATCACCACCATGGTCCCCATCCCACCTCCATCACCACTACGGTCCCATCCCACCTCCATCACTGCCATGGTCCCATCCCACCTCCATCACCGCCATGGTCCCATCCCACCTCCATCACCACCATGGTCCCCATCCCACCTCCATCACCGCCATGGTCCCCCTCCCACCTCCATCACTGCCATGGTCCCCATCCCACCTCCATCACTGCCATGGTCCCATCCCACCTCCATCACCGCCATGGTCCCATCCCACCTCCATCACCACCATGGTCCCATCCCACCTCCATCACCGCCATGGTCCCCATCCCACCTCCATCACTGCCATGGTCCCATCCCACCTCCATCACCGCCATGGTCCCCATCCCACCTCCATCACCACCATGGTCCCCATCCCACCTCCATCACCACTACGGTCCCATCCCACCTCCATCACCGCCATGGTCCCATCCCACCTCCATCACCACCATGGTCCCCATCCCACCTCCATCACTGCCATGGTCCCATCCCACCTCCATCACTGCCATGGTCCCCATCCCACCTCCATCACCACCATGGTCCCCATCCCACCTCCATCACCACTACGGTCCCATCCCACCTCCATCACCACCATGGTCCCATCCCACCTCCCTCCACCCCGCTGTCCCCCCAGCACTCAGGGCACCCACCCTCGGTGAAGACCCTGTCCACGTTGAGGCCGTACGTGGCGCAGGTCTCGTAGTAGAGGCATCTCCTCATGTCCCCGCAGAGCGCGCGGGCGCGGGCGTCCTCCACCACGCGGGGGCTGGAGGAGCTGATCTTGTCTGTGGGGAGCAGCGGTGAGGGGGGGCTGTCCCCTCCCCACGCCGGCCCTATGGGGGTCCCCCCCCGGCTCACCCTGGGTGCCCACCAGCGCCAGGGCCACCTCAGCGGCGCCCCGGTGGGTGAGGAGCAGCTCGTGGAGCTTCACCACCTCCTGGAAGCTGCCTTCGCTCTCCAGGCTGAACACGAAGATGACGGCGTCGGCCCAGACGGAGAACTGGGGGGGGGGGGGGGGGCACGAATAGGGGGGGGTCAGAGCCCGGCCCCGCTGCTGGAACCCCCGGCCCGGCCCGCACCCACCTCTGGGTCCGGGGCTCCTCCTTCCTCCCGGATGAGCAGGAGGTGGCTCTGGCCATCGACCGTCACCTCGCGCTTGAACTGCCCACCTGAGGCGGGGGAGAGCAGGAGCCCACGCTGAGCTGCACCCATGGCCGGAGACCCAAAGGGCTCCAGCACCCCACAGCCATGAGCAACCCATGGCCATGAGCACCCCACATCCATGAGCACTCAATGGCCATGAGCTCCCCATGGCCATGAGCACCCCATGGCCATGAACACCCCAGGGCCATGAACACCCCACGGCCTTGAGCACCCCACGGCCATGAGCACCCCACAGCCATGAGCACCCCATGGCCATGAGCACCCCACATCCATGAGCACTCAATGGCCATGAGCACCCCATGGCCATGAGCACCCCACGGCCATGAGCACCCCATGGCCATGAACACCCCAGGGCCTTGAGCACCCCACAGACACAAGCACCCCATGGCCATGAGCACCCCATGGCCATGAGCACCCCATGGTCATGAGCACCCCATGGCCATGAGCACCCCACATCCATGAGCACCCCATGGCCAGGAGCAACCCACAGCCACAAGCACCCCATGGCCATGAGCACCCCACGGCCATGAGCACCCCATGGCCATGAGCACCCCATGGTCATGAGCACCCCATGGCCATGAGCACCCCATGGTCATGAGCACCCAATGGCCACGAGCACCCCATGGCCATGAGCACCCCACGGCCATGAGCACCCCACAGCCATGAACACCCCACGGCCATGAGCAACCCAATGGCCATGAGCAGCCCATAGGTTGGAGCACTTCATAGCCTTAAGCACTCCACGACCTTGAGTCCCCCATGGCCATGCCCAACACTATGGCCTTGACTGTCCTCTTGGCCCTGTTCAGAACCATGGCCTTGTCCATCCCATAGTCATGGGCTAAGCTCAGGCCCTTGGTCATGCCCAACCCTGTGACCATGCTCAGCCCCATTGATCATAGTCCATCCCTATGGCCTTGTCCATCCCACGGCCAAGCTCAAGCTCATGGTCATGCCCAACCCTACTATGACCATGTCCATCCTCACGGCCATGTCCATCCTCACGGCCATGTCCGGCCCCACAGCCGTGTCCATCCCCATGGCTGTGTCCATCCCCATGGCTGTGTCCATCCCCACAGCCGTGTCCATCCCCATGGTCGTGTCCATCCCCATGGTCGTGTCCATCCCCGTGGTCGTGTCCATCCCCATGGTCGTGTCCATCCCCATGGTCGTGTCCATCCCCGTGGTCGTGTCCATCCCCATGGTCGTGTCCATCCCCATGGTCGTGTCCATCCCCGTGGTCGTGTCCATCCCCGTGGTCGTGTCCATCCCCGTGGTCGTGTCCATCCCCGTGGTCGTGTCCATCCCCGTGGCCACTCACTCTCGGTGGGCTCCAGGCCCACATAGGAGCCGGTGAGGAAGCGATGGACGAGTGCAGACTTCCCACTCCTGCTGCTGCCCAGGACACCCTGGGGACAGAGCAGAGGAGGTGTCAGGGTGCTCATGGACACAGGGGCATGGGGACATGGGGACACGGGGACAGGGGCATAGGGCCATGGGGACACAGGGACAGGGCCATGGGGACACAGGGACAGGGCCATGGGGACACGGTACCCACCAAGCGGATCTCGGGGATGGAGTGACCCAGGGTCCATTCCTGGCTGTTGACCAGAGCCTCTGTGGGGCAGGAGAAGGGTGGGACGGTGCCAGCAGCCCCAGGCCGGGCCAGGCCACCCCCCACTCGCGCCGCAGCACCGGCAGCAGCCGTGGGCAGCACCCACCGTCACCAGGCAACGCACCGGGGGCGGCGGAGACGTGACGCGATGTGCGGGGACGGGGACATGGAGCCCGGCACGGGATGGGGATGGGGTGGGAATGGGGGTGAAGCGTGGCAGGAGGACGTGGCCTGGCACCAGGACACGACGGGCACCAGGATGTGTCATACCATGAGGACACGACAGGCAGGCACCAGTACGTGGCCTGGCACAGGGAGATGATGGGCACCAGGACACGACGGGCACCAGGATGTGTCATACCATGAGGACACAACAGGCAGGCACCAGTACGTGGCCTGGCACAGGATGTTGATGGGTGCCAAGAGGCAACACGGCACGAGGGCGCAGCGTGGCATGGGGACACAACAGGAACCAGGGCACGATGGGCACCAGGACACGATGGCACAAGGATGTGGTGTGGCAAGAAAACACGGCATGGCACGGGGAGCCAATGGGCACCAGGACCCAACGACACCAAGATGCAGCATGGCACGGGGAGCCAATGGGCACCAGGACCCAACGACACCAAGATGCAGCATGGCACGGGGAGCCAATGGGCACCAGGACCCAACGACACCAAGATGCAGCATGGCACGGGGAGCCAATGGGCACCAGGACCCAACGACACCAAGATGCAGCATGGCACGGGGAGCCAATGGGCACCAGGACCCAACGACACCAAGATGCAGCATGGCACGGGGAGCCAATGGGCACCAGGACCCAACGACACCAAGACGCAGCATGGCACGAGGACCCAATGGGCACCAGGACCCAACGACACCAAGATGCAGCATGGCACGAGGAGCCAATGGGCACAGGACACGATGGCACCGGGGTGTAGTGTGGCAAGAAAACACGGCATGGCACGAGGAGCCAATGGGCACCAAGACCCAACGACACCAAGACGCAGCATGGCACGAGGACACAGTGGGTTTCAGGGCGCGACGGGCACCGGGGCGCAGTGGGGCACGTGACAGGCACGGGGACGTGACGGCTGAGGCACACACGATGACATGGGAGGCACGAGGCCGTGCGGGACACGGGGACACGGGGAAGCAGCACACGCTGGGCACGAGGATGAGCCCGGCCCCGTGCACGAGGACACAGCGTGGCACGAGGATGTTCCCTGTGTCCCCCCCCAGCCCCTAGGCACCATGAGAAGGGAAACTGAGGCCGGGCGAAGGCAGAAGGTGCCTCCCTTTCCTGTGCCTCAGTTTCCCCGGTAGAGGTGGGGTCAACCTGCTCCTGTCCCCCTCTTGCACCCCATGGCACCAGGGGGACAGACGGACAAGGGCAGAGGATGGATGGATGGATGGATGGATACGCAACGGGTGTCACAGATGGCAGGGGGATGGACGGACGGATGCCAGGACAGGAGGACGCATGAGGGCTGAGCCCCACAGACCCACCACAGCAGGGAAACTGAGGCACAAGCGCCCCACAGCACCTGAGGCCACTTAGGGGTGTCCTTGACTTGGTGCCCAGCCCCCAGCCATGGGGTGCAGACGGGTCCCAGCCCCACACCCCCTCCTCAGCCCCATTGCACCCATTCTCACCCCACACATCCCCCCCAGCCCCATGGGAACACCGAGGTGCTGCCCCACAGCCTACAGCAGGGCCGGTCTGTGGGACCCGCGCCCCCCCCCCCCAATTGCACGGCGCTCACCGGGGGCCATGGGGAAACTGAGGCACGTCCGGTACTCACGGGGGGGGGCCCAGGGGGGCGCGGGGGGGGGCGCGGGGCTCTTGGCGAAGATGCCGCTGATGAACTTGAGCATCTTGCGGTCGCGGGTGGAGGCTCGGCCGCCTTCGCGCCCCCGTTTGAGCCCCGTCTCGGTACCGGCGGCACCGGGGGGCGCAGCGGGAGCCGGGACCGGAGTCAGCCCCGCCGCGCCCGGGGGGAGGTCGCTGTAATCCAGGGTCTTGCTTTTGCCTTTGTGCGGGGAGAAGCGACCCCGTCCCGGCGGCCGCGGCCCCGCCTCAGGTCCCGCTTTGCCCCCCGCGGCTTTGGGCCGCCCCTTGCCCTCGCCCTCGGGCCACGAGAGGCGGCTGCCCCCGGCCCCGCTCGCGGTCGCCTTCAGGGGCCCTTTGGTGGCCTTCAGGGGCTCCCCGGGGGTCGCCACTTTGAACGGCTTCGTCCCGGTCAAGCGGAGCCGGCGCGGCCCGGCCGAGGGGTGCGGGGAGGACACGGGGTGCGGGGGGGGCTTGGCCAGCTCCGGGGTCACCTCGGGGCACCCCCAGGTTGCCTGGGCCAGCAGCGGGGGCCGCGGGGTCGCCAGGGCGGGGGGGGGGCGGCCCCGCTCCCCTGTGGCCTCCAAGGTGCCCTTGGACCCCCCTCGCGGGGTGAGGTCGGGTTTTGGGGGTACGGCGGGGGGCAGGGAGGCCGCGGAGGGTTTCGGGGGGACGGCGGGGGGCGGCGGGAGCGCAGACGGGTCCGGTTTGGGGGGGACAAGCGGGGGTTGGGGCGGGGGAAGAGACGCCGGGTCGGGTTTGGGGGGTACAACCGGAGGGGGGGGCAGGGGGGGCAGCAGGGTCGGGTCGGGTTTTGGGGGTACAACGGGGGGGGTGGAGGCGGGAGAACGGGGCCGGCGGGAGGAGCGGCGGCGGCGGCGGCGGCGGCGGGGCGGGGAGGGGGGGCCGAGGCCTCGGTGATGGGCGCCGGGCCCGGGCTGGGGGTGCGGGGGCTGCCGGGGGGGGCCGCAGCGTCGGGGGGCCCGGTTGTACTTATCCAGAGAGCGTCCTGGCGCTGGAAGAGCCGCTCGGGCCGCTTCGTTCTGCCGCCGCCACCGGGATCCTCGGGGCGGGCGGCATCAACCGGCCTCCCCCCGGGGCGGGGGGACCCATCGCTGCCCCCCCCCGCCGCCGCCGCCGCCGGCTCCGGTTCTCCCGGCGCTGCCGCCACCGACTCGAGCTTGACGAGGGTGAGGGAGATGAGGAAGGTTGTGCGGCGCTGGAGGCCGCTGGTCCTGCTCATGGGTGCGGGCAGGGACCCCCCCCCCGGCCCGGGCAGGAGGCGAAGCCCCCCCCTCGCTGTCCCTGTCCCCGTCGCTGTGTATCCGCGTTCCCCCCCCCCGTTCCCGGTGTTCCCGGTTCGCTGGAGGATGCTCGGCGCCGTCCCCACCCCCGGCCCTGCCTCCCCGAAGCCTTTCCCCGCTCCTCGCCCGCCCCCGGAGGGGTTGGAACCGACACCGCCCCCCCCCCCCCCCCCCCCCCCCCCCCCCATAACACCCCCCCCCCAACAGAACAAACCCCTCCCGGAGCGAGCAACCCTCTCCCCGGGTTAAAGACCGGGGGCACCGTGAGGGCCCCCCCCCCCCCAAGGATGGGGGCTGTGGATGTGGGGGTCCGGGGGGGGGGGTTATAGGTTGGGGGGAGTCTGTTGGGATGGGGGTGGTGGGGAGAGGGGGCATCGAGGAGCATGGGGGGTTATAGGAGGTGTATGAGGGGGTGATGGGGAGGTATAGGGGGGCTATAGGGGAGTTGTGGTGTGATTATGGGGGGCTATGGGGGGGGCTATAGGGCGATTATGGGGGGTTATGGGGGGGCTACGGAGGTGTTGGGGGGTCCCTGTTTGGGGGGTCCCGTGGGGGTGCCCACACACGATCCCGGCCGCAGCCTCCCTTTGCCCGTCAGGTTTTTAGCATCAACCCCCCTCTCCCCCCTCCCGCATCCCGTTATCCCGTTGCCGTGGCAGCGGCGGGGCCGGAGATGGAGCCCTACGGGCGGTCCCCAGCGGCTCCCCCCCCAATCCGGGCCTGTGTTCCCCCCCCCCCCGGGGGGTGCTGTGTTTCGGGGGTCGTTCCCCCCCCCCCGCTGCCTTCCCTCCCCCCTTGTTACTGCCACATTCCCGCTGCTCGTGACAGAACCGGGAGCGTCGCCCCAGCAACGCGCCCACGGCGCCACCGGGATGGATGGATGAGGGGGGGCACCCCTTGATCCCCCTCCTTGTCCCTCCCTGTCACTAGGGGGGTGACACGTGATCCCCTCACAGCCCCCCCATAGTGCCACTGTTGCCCCCCACCCATTCCCAGTCCGTCCCAGTCCCTCCCAGTGCCCCCTCCCCGCAGCCTTCAGGAGACAGGCTGGGTGCCCGCCCATCACCCATGGGTGGCTCTTGTGTGTGTCTCCCCCCAACTATGGGGGGGTCAAGGCGAGTCTGACACCCCCCCCCCAACCAGTCACATCCCCATCGACATCCCGAAGCCCTGCTGCCCCCGTTGGAACTGTGGGGCTGAGGGGGAGGACAGAAGTACCCACAGCGGGTGAGAGCTGGGCCCTGGGGTGCGGGTGCTGGTGGGGGGGGGGTCCCTGTGCCCCCCTATCCGTGGGTACCACTTTCTGGGTGCTTAGCAACGAGGCATCCCCCTGCTTACTGTTGCCATGGCAACAGTGCTGGGGAGATGCCAGCACACGGGGGGGGGAGGGGGGGCGTGCAGGGATGCAGAAGGGGGGCACAGAGATGCGAAGGAGGGGCACAAGGATGGGGGGGCACAAGGATGGGGGGACGGGGTTGGGGGGCACACGGATGTGTGTGTGGGGTGGAACCAGCACCCAAGTCCCTGGGGACACCACCCCATTGGACACCCCCCAATGGGGACCATGGGATGGGAGAGCACCCCCCACCCATAGCACCTCCATGGGGCCCTCCAGAATCAGGGCCCCCCCCCACCCCCCCCACCCCCCCCCGGTGCTGGCCCCCCCCTCGAGTTGAGGAAACGGCGCCAACGTCACCGACCGCAGCCCCGGGCTGAGGCACCGGAAACCAGCAAAGGCGGCAGCAGGAGGAGGCAGGGGAGGGGCTGGGGACCCCCAAACCCCCCCCGGCTCTGACCCCCCCCAGCGTGGCCCCAAGTGGGTCCCGGGGGGCACTGGGGATCCCCAGCCTCGAGCAGCGTCAAGGGAGGGAGCCAGGACCCCACAGTTTGTGGAGGCCCTGAGGGGAGCTGGGGATCACAGGGACCCCCTCCCCGTGTGTGTGGGCGCCAGCTCAGGATGCGGTGTGGGGCAGGGAGGACCGGTGTCATGAGCTGTCTGGCTGCCCATCACCCAGCCACCGTCCTCCTGCCCACCCAGCATCATCCATCCCTCCCTCTGTCCTTCTGTCCGTCCAACCATCAAAACACCATCTCACCAGCCCCCATCTGTCTGTGCATGCATTCATCCCTCCATCCCTCTGTCCCACAACTCATCCATCCATCCATCCATCCATCCGTCCCACATCCCTCTGTTATCCACTGTCAATCCCTCTGTCCATCCACCCTGCTGTCCATCCATCTGTTCATCCACACATCCTTTGTCCCTCCATTCATCCATCCATCCCTCCGTCCGTCCATCCATCCCTCCGTCCGTCCATGCATCCATCCATCCATCCATCCATCCATCCATCCATCCCTCTGTCCATCCATCCATCCATCCATCCATCCATCCCTCTGTCCGTCCATCCATCCATCCATCCACCCATCCATCCATCCATCCGTCCGTCCATCCATCCATCCATCCACCCATCCATCCATCCATCCATCCGTCCATCCATCCATCACCCATCCATCCATCTATCCCTCCATCTGTCCATCCATCCATCCATCCATCCATCCATCCATCATCCATCCATCCATGCCTTCCTCCATCCATCTGGCAATCTACCCCCCTGTCCATTCATACATCCATCATCCCACTGTTCATCCCTCTGTCCATCCCCCTGTCCACCCATCCATGCATCCATGCACCCATCACTCATCCATCCATCCATCCATCCATGCATCCATGCATCCATCCCTCATCCATCCATCATCCATGCATCCATCCATCCATCCCAACATCCATCTGTCCACCCGCTGTCCATCCCTCCTGTGTTCACTCACGCATGCACCCACCATCGCTCCATCCATCCCCCTGCCCATCTCTCTGCGCACCCATCCGTCCACCCCCCTGCCCGTCCCTCTGTCCATTCACACACCCATGCATCCCCTGTCCATCCCCTCTCCATCCCCCTTGTCCATCCCCTGTCCATCCCCTGTCCATCCCCTGTCCATCCCCTGTCCATCCCCTCTCCATCCCCAGTCCATCCCCTGTCCATCCCCTGTCCATCCCCTCTCCATCCCCTGTCCATCCCCTGTCCATCCCCTCTCCATCCCCTGTCCATCCCCTCTCCATCCCCTCTCCATGCCCCTTGTCCATCCCCTCCTCCATCCCCTGCCCATCCCCTGTCCATCCCCCTTGTCCATCCCCTGCCCATCCCCTCTCCATCCCCTCTCCATCCCCTGCCCATCCCCTGTCCATCCCCTCTCCATCCCCTGCCCATCCCCTGTCCATCCCCTCTCCATCCCCTCTCCATCCCCTGTCCCATCCCCTCTCCATCCCCTTCCATCCCCTCTCCATCCCTCCATCCCCTGTCCATCCCCTCTCCATCCCCTGCCCATCCCCTCTCCATCCCCTCTCCATCCCTGTCCATCCCCTGTCCATCCCCTCTCCATCCCCTCTCCATCCCTCTCCATCCCCTGTCCATCCCCCCATCCCCTCTCCATCCCCTCTCCATCCCCTGTCCATCCCCCTTGTCCATCCCCTCTCCCATCCCCTCTCCATCCCCTTCCATCCCCTGTCCATCCCCTGCCCATCCCCTGTCCATCCCCCTCCCATCCCCTGTCCATCCCCTGTCCATCCCCTCTCCATCCCCTCTCCATCCCCTGTCCATCCCCTGTCCATCCCCTGCCCATCCCCTCTCCATCCCCTCTCCATCCCCTGTCCATCCCCTGTCCATCCCCTCTCCATCCCCTCTCCATCCCCTGTCCATCCCTGTCCATCCCCTCTCCATCCCCTCTCCATCCCCTCTCCATCCCCTGTCCATCCCCTCCCATCCCCTCTCCATCCCCCCCATCCCCTCTCCATCCCCCCCATCCCCTCTCCATCCCCATACCTGGTGCCCCCCATCCCCTCTCCATCCCCCCCATCCCCTCTCCATCCCCCCCATCCCCTCTCCATCCCCCCCATCCCCTCTCCATCCCCCCCATCCCCTCTCCATCCCCTCTCCATCCCCCCCATCCCCTCTCCATCCCCCCCATCCCCTCTCCATCCCCGTCCATCCCCTCTCCATCCCCTCTCCCCATCCCCTCTCCATCCCTCCATCCCCTCCCCATCCCCTCTCCATCCCTCCATCCCCTGTCCATCCCCTGTCCATCCCCTGTCCATCCCCTGCCCATCCCCTCTCCATCCCCTGTCCATCCCCAGTCCATCCCCCTTGTCCATCTTCCCTCCCTCCCTCCCTCGGCCCCCGCTGTCCCCCCCCCCCCCGCTCCCCGTATCCCCGCACCTCGCAGGTCTCTCGCGGCCGCCGCCAGCGCCCGTCGCAGCCGGGGCTCGGTCACGGCCTCCACGAGCGCCCCGAGCGCGTTCAGGCTCCGCTTGGCCTCCTCGTGCCGCCGCACCTCGGCGCGGATGGCGGCGAGCGCCCGGCCCCGGGCCCCGCTCATGGCACCCGCGGGGCTGCGGCGGCCCCGGCCCCGGCCCCGGCCCCGGCCCGGCCCCGCGCATCCGGCCCCGCGCTTCCTGCGGGACGCGGCGCCTGCAACGAGCCCGGACACGCAACGGCCCGGGCCCAACCCGGCCCAACCCGGGCCCAACCCGGCCCAACCCGGCCCAACCCGGCCCAACCCGGCCCAACCCGGCCCAGCGCCGCCCGCGGCACGCGTGGGGACGCGCGAGGAGCCAGCTCCACATGGGACACAGCAGGGACACAGCAGGGACACAGCAGGGACACGCCAGGGACACAGCAGGGCATGCTA